TACAACTGAAAGAACACTAGCTAAAACAGACAGAACATGAGTTAAAACAGACAGGACACGAGCTGAAATAGACAGAACACGAGCTGAAACAGACAGGACATGAGCTAAAACAGACAACACGAGCTAAAATCTCTTTTGTTATTTGAGAACTTTTCTTGGCAGAACTTGTAGAGTTCATTGAAACTGGTTGGTTTCCTGATTTCAGACCCGGTCCACAAACCTTCAATCAGGTTGAGTTGGGGTCTTTGGGAGGGGCGATCCAGAAGCTCAGTGTCAGCCTGATTTATCCAGTCAGAAACCAGTCTTGCCATGTGTTTGGGATCATGGTTCTGTTGGACCCGTGTCTTACATTTTAACTGTCCAGTTGCTGATCTGAGGTGAAGCTGAAGAATTTGAAGGTAGTCTTCTTATTATTTATTGTTCCATCCACTTTGTACCACAGCATGAAGCTACCACCACCATGCCTGACAATTGGTCCATTGTCCTGAGGTCTGAAAGCCACACCTTGACTCGTCCACATATCCTTCTTGTCTCAATTTCTGTCTTCTGACCACCAAACTTTGTCCATGTGGACAGCTGCAGGTTTCAATCCAGCTTTAGGGTTTTGGAGCTTCGTTCTTGGTCCTCTCAATCAATGGTGATGTAAAGCAGTCTTCACTGGTGGACAAGGATCCTGGTGGACAGGGAGACTAGTGGACAAGGACACTGGTGGACAGGGAGACTGATAGACAAGGAGCCTGGAGGACAGGGACACTGGTGGACAAGGACCCTGGTGGACAGGGACACTGGTGGACAAGGACTATGGTGGACAGAGATACTTGTTCCAAATCATGGTTGGTTTGAACCTTGATGGTTCCTGAACATCAGAACCAGTTTCCTTCCATCTGAGGGGGACAGATGAGCATGTCCAACCAGTCCTAGAGTAACTACCAGCTGCAGTCGATCATGATCACTGACAGGAAGTTAATAGGCCTTGTCAAGTTAAAAGACCTTCAGTTTCACTTATTAACAGTTGTAGGTGAATGTATGTTAATATTTGAGCCTGTATGTTTATTTCTGACCTTGTATAGTTCAGAGAAAGGCCACAATAAATTTAACGATGGTTTTAAGAATTATTCAAGTTGGATGTTCAAGTGAAACGTTAAAAGCCCACAATTAACCTGACCGATGGAAACTTCTGATCATTTCTGTGTTTCAAACCAGGGAAGATGTTCTTTTCATTTAACTCCTGGATAAAATGGAAAACAGCATGGTGTCATAAATAAACACAACATCTATTGTCAAACTATTTACTTCGGCTGATACTTTAGAGTTATTACCAACACAGGTTTGTACAGTTGTTGTTCTCTGATAAATATTGTTTTATAAACAACAGGTTACGGCTTCGTCGACTTTGACAGCCCAGCTGCTGCTTTAAAGGCGGTACACGCTCTGAAAACCAGCGGCATCCAGGCCCAGATGGCTAAGGTGGGTTTCCTACAGCCCTGTGTGTGTGTGTGTGTTCATATTCACGGTTGTGAACATTTCTTTAGAGTTGTGTGTTTTCAGTTCTTGCATCCTTGTGTCTGCTGTCTTAACGGAGGCTGACATTAAACAGGTCACGTGTTCTCAGCCGACATTTCTCATTTACTCTCATCGTGGAAACCAGATGATGTCTCCTGTCCTCCTTCAGGTCCAGGTTTTATCAGGACATGTTTACACCGGATCAGGTCTTGATCTGGTTCTAAAATTATTTTAAATCCAATCTCAAATGAACAAAAACAGATTCCACTGAGTCGTTATTTAATAAACAAAAACAAAATGTTGCAGCTGTGAGTGAAATACATAAAACCCTAGTGTTCACTGTGAGATGTTTGCACTTGAACTCTTTCACCTTGAACCGTTTTGGATTTTTTTAGAAACTAAATCGAAGACGCTGGAACCAACAGGGTGTTTCTGCATCACGTCGTATTTCTTTGTGCCGCTGGCTGAGAGTTCACTGATAACGGTTTCTCTCCAGAGACCTGTGTGCGGTTGCTCGGTTTGGAACAAGCATGGCCGACCACGGTTTGTGTGTTGCCATGGCGACAACGGTCTCCTGCTGTTTCCAGGGGCGACCGTAGAGGCGCTGAGCGGCAGCACAGAGCGTGGTGCGTGGTTCTGTCCGTGTGTGCAGAAGGGCTTCGAAATATTTGTTTAACCAAATGTTCCTCTGAGAAACACGAAGCAACTTCGTGCTGAGAAAAGACAAATGTGTGAGAAGTACTGCAGGAAATCAACATAATCATCAGTGTTTCATTCTGACGAAATGATGATCGAGTGATCATCTAAATACGCTTCTATTCTGTTTTTGTTTTTTCTGTGAGCAGCAGCAGGAGCAGGATCCCACAAATCTTTACCTTTCCAACTTGCCTCTGTCCGTGGATGAGAAGGAGCTGGAGAAGATGCTGCAGCCGTTAGGTCAGGTCGTCTCCACTCGGATCCTCAGAGACTACAGCGGGAACAGCCGAGGCGTTGGATTTGCCAGGTTTGTCCGTGACAACGGCAAGAAACAGCAGGAATTCACTGTTCTATTTGATGGGAATCTGTCATAACATAATACTGTACATCTACAACTACTCAACTTCTGGAGTCAACCTGATTCAAGATGGCCGCCACAGTTAACTTACCCTAGCAAAAACCAAAATGGCCATAACTCTAACCTGGCTATGCCAAAGAGCTTCTAGATCAGACCTAACAATATTTTCAAGGTTTTAAAACAATCTTAAACTCTAAGATCACAGCGGGCGATATGCATTCCTGAAATCAGCAGTTTGTTGTATCACAAACCAGTTTCATAATTTCCCACAGACTCGAGGAGAAACACAAGTTCTGCAGCAAAGTTGGTTTTTACTCATTTTTGCTAAGGTTAGTTTGTAGGGAGCTAGAGTTAGCTTGTATGTTATTCAGTGTTAGCGTGTAGGAGAGCTAGGGTTAGCATGTAGGAGAGCTAGAGTTAGCTTGGGATAGCTTGTAGGTTAGATAGGGTTAGCTTGTAGGGGAACTAGGGTTAGCTTGTGGGGGGCTAGGGTTAGCTTGTGGGTTAGCTAGGGTTAGCTTGGTAGCTTTTGGGTTAGCTAGGGTTAGCTTGTATGGTAGGCTAGGGTTAGCTTGGGTTAACTTGTAGGGGAGGCTAGGGTTTTGGGTTAGCTTGGGTTAACTTGTAGGGGAGGCTAGGGTTAGCTTGTAGGTTAGATAGGGTTAGCTTGTGGGGGGCTAGGGTTAGCTTGTGGGTTAGCTTGTAGGTTAGATAGTGTTAGCTTGTAAGCTAACTAGGTTCAGTTTTAGTTAGTAAGTTTGTTAGTTTTAGTTTGCAGGATTAGTTTTAGTTTGTTTTTTTTAGTTTTAGTTTGTAGGTTAGATAGGTTTAGCTTGTAGGTGAACTAGGGTTAGCTTGTGGGTTAGCTAGGGTTAGCTTGTATGGTAGGCTAGGGTTAGCTTGGGTTAGCTTGTAGGTTAGATAGTGTTAGCTTGTAAGCTAACTAGGTTCAGTTTTAGTTTGTAAGTTTGTTAGTTTGTAGAATTAGTTGAAGTTTGGATTTTAGTTTTAGTTTGTAGGTTAGCTGGTGTTACTATATTTTTTTTTTACAGAATGTAAACTCTTGTTGTGAAGTTGTTTTTGTTGTGTCGTAAACTCTCACCTGTGTTTTTCAGGATGGACACGACGGATCAGTGTAACGCGGTCATCTCTCATTTCAACGGGAAGTTTCTCAAGTTAGCTTCTGGAGGTCTTGGTAAGAGACAGAATGACTCTTTATTTACGTCAGTAAAATCTGCAGAAGTGTCCGGTTATTGACCGGCTGTTCATTTGTGTTTTTCCCCCTCAGCTCCATCTCAGCCTTTGCTGTGCAAATTTGCAGACAGTCAAAAAAAGAAACACAGTCACAGTGGGTTGGTTCCCAGTGGACAGAGAGGGGATCTCAGACTAGTACGTATGCAGTCAGTCTTGTGCTTCTTGATATCACCCACCACCAAAGGCAGGGAATAATGTCCTTTTTGCCAAAGTCTGTGTATCTGTTAGCAAAATATCTCATGAACCCCTGGAAAAATATGCTGGTGAAGATTCTCAGAAAAATGTTAATGAATTTCCCAGAAAGTAATAAATGGATATATATTTACAACTGATGAACTTTTGGAATCAATCCAATCCATGATGGCCACCTAATCGATCTTAACAAACACAGAAATTGTTATAATAAGGTCAATTTTACAATCGTTCAGCTAAAGCGTGATGTGGTAGTAGCCGAGAGTCATTCATATCACATACTTCTAGCTTTGGGAAGAACATTTTTAGTAAAATATTTGAGAAATCGGGCCTAAATTCCTTCGCTCAAAGTTTCTGGGACAAAATAAATGTCAGAATTTCACAAAAGTTCAAATTTTTATGCCAGAATGTGCAACATGTTGACTTTTTATTGAACTGAACAATAAAAATGAGACATTATTTTACATTTTCTTACATATATAATATTTTTATTGCTGTAGGGTGCCATGACTCTCACATATGACCCTTCCTCAGCAGCCATTCAGACTGGGTAAGTTAGTTTTGACTCAAAGTGTGTGAAGCATAGCTACATTTATTTACTATATAGACTGAAAATAAACAAAGTTTAGCTCTTTATTTACAAATAAATATGACCTAGTTTTGCATATTTGTGACTGATAAAAATAAACAAATCTTTAGGTTGTTTGGACTCACCCTAACGTTGCCACATTTCTCCTGCAAGTTGTCTTTGAGGAGTTTCACTCCCAGGCAAATCTGAAGCTTTGTTCTGTTTTTATATCATAATTCATTAATAGATTTTGTTTTAAAATTAGCTAGTATCATTAGAATAAATTCCTCCATTGATAATGAAATAAACATTTGGTTCTCATACACAGAAAAACCCTCGTACTATGATGTGACCTCCACCATGTTTGTTGCTCAAGAACTAATTTTGCTCGGAGGTTCGTTTGTGACCTCGTTGACTCAAACGTTTTGTTTTTGAAGCAGTTTTTATTAGGGAGGGAAAGAATAATATTAAATTTTCCTCAGTTCGTGTATAATGTGTCTGACTGAGGAGACGATGTTAAAATAAAGAAAAGATTTTAAATATTTTCCAGCCTGAAAAACAACCAAACTCCAAATTTACCTTTAATTGAACCTAATCCCATAGTTTAGTTCCTTAATTATAGTTAAGACTGGATTATAATAATTTGTAGGAAAAATTATAATTGTAAACTTTGCTTAGTTTTTGTTTATCAAACTTTAGGAAATCCGGTTCTTTCTTTTAAAAACATTCAGGCACTATTAAAGTTATTTCTAGCGTAATTTAACATTTACTAGTGTTCTAAAATTAATGTTTTATTTTATGCTGTTTTTATTTTTAGGTATTATTCTTCTCCATACCCTGTGAGCAACAGAATAATGACGGTGCAGCCGACAATGTCTCCATACATGTCTCCGGTTCCGGCATACCAGGTAGGCTCCTACCAAAGCGCCTTTTAAATAAAAAAATAAATAAATACAGTAGTCCCTCGTTTATCACGGGGCTCAGTTCCCCCGTGATAAGTGAAAACTGCAAAGTAGGGATACAGTAGTTCAAGTAAACGTTATTATCATGAGATGGAACAAAATTTTGTATGTACTCAAGTAGTAGTAGTAAGCAGTAGTTTATTTTATTATTTATATATAGTACATATTGCCGTTTTAAACCCTTCCCACACTCTTGCAATGTTTTTAACAGTTTTCTAAACTCTTGAACCTTTAAAAAATATATTAATTTTAAATGGGTACTCACCAGAGAATATGATGATGAACTAGAAGAGATGGAGATGAAGTGTTAGCTGTCCAGTGATGACGATTAAGGTGATGAAGATGAGATGAAACCAGGTGCTTTGGCTTCGTCCTTCTTAATAAAAGTGCAAGATGCCATCCTTTTCCAGAACAGGTCCGTTTCGTCCACGTTAAAACCTTGTTCAGACCTGTAGCCCCCCTCGGCGATCAGATCTTTGAACCTCGTGTTAACAAACTCCTGCTGTGTCAGAGGACGCAGCCTCTCCGTGCAGAGAAACACTTTTTAATCCAAATCGTTTTTGAAATTTGTTGAACCGTCCCTTGCTGGCACTAAATGCAGTTGGTTCGGTGGTTGAACCAGGTGGTTGAAAGGTCCAGCTTCGGGTTCGTCCCCCGCTCCTCATATTCATCACCATGTCTCTTCCTCGGTGCTGCAAGATGATCTTACAGTAAAGTTGTTTCACCTTGGGTGTTGGTATCCAAAGTGATGTTGTTTTTCTGCTATCATTAATCCACACAATCAGCTTCCATCTTAACAATTGTGCTGTAGGCGGTTGGCAACATACATAAATGTACCGGTACTGTACTTTTATAGCGCCTTTCTATCTTATCAAGATAACTCAAAATTAGCAAAATGCCAGCTAAAAGCTAACAAGGTTAAACCATAGTTAAATGTTAAAAGTATCAAAAAGCTAGCTAGATGCTAAAATTAGCAAAATGCCAACTAAAAGCTAAGAAAGGTAAACCATAGTTAAACATTAAAAGTATCAAATGCTAGCTAGATGCTAAAGCTAGCTAAATGCAATCTAAAAGCTAACAATGCTAAACTATTGTTAAACGATAAAAGTATCAAAAAGCTAGCTAGAAGGTAGAAGGCCAAACAGTAGCTAAAAGTAGCAGAAGACAAAAGCAGAGCCAGTAGCTGAAGCAGATTTCAACTGTTCTTGAATGAACTGATAAGACCTCCATGTATTTCTGTGAGGATCATTTTTGTACATAAAGTTAAATCTTTGAAAAGTATGAAAGTTACAAAAACCTAAAAAGTCACTGCACCCATCTCCTGAGTCAAATTGTTAAAAAAAAAAAAGAAGAAAAAAGTACGGAAAAATAACAACCGGAAAACATGGAGCAGACCATCAGTAGGACACAGGGATCGATGGTTAATGACATGGAGTTTACTGGTTGTTTACAACCTGGTTAGTGAAGCTACAGGAGAATAATAGGCAGCATGACAGCTCAGTGGTTAGCACTGTTGCCTCACAGCAAGAAGGTCCTGAGTTCAATCCCTGGTTGGATTTGGGGTCTTTCTGTGAGGAGTTTGCATGTTCTCTCGGTGCACGCGTGGGTTTTCTCCGGGTACTCCGGTTTCCTCCCACAGACCAAAAACATGCATGTTAGTCTGCCTTCAGGTCCAGGCCTCCCTTACAAAAGAGATCTGTGATCTCAATGGGATTTGCCTGGTTAAATAAATTTTAATAAAGAAATAAATAAAAATAATAAAATATAGAAATAAGAAATCATTATGTACAACTTGTCAATTTAGAATCTTCCATTTCTGTTTAAAGGTAGTTGATTTTAAAGTAAAAACACGTGTCCCTTTGTGTGTTTTTGCCTCCCTCCATTAGGTGCAGAGTCATTCGTGGGTGGCGCACCAACCCTACATCATGCAACACCCGGTAAGCAACAAAACTTCACTCCAGCACTATTTCTGCGTACAGGAAATGGGTGTGAGGCGCTGCGACGGCTAAAGCTGTGAGCTCACTGCTGTTTCTGTACTCAGCCCGTCCTGCTGACAACGGTCAGACTTCCCTAAAGCTGACACGACTTTCTCTCTTACAAATTCAAAGAGGGTTCATGTGCGACGGAGAGAGCATGAAAAAGAACTGGAGACATTCGGCCCCCCCTCCTTCCTCTCTGTGGATCCAGCAGGAAATGCCTGAAGCCGAGACAGTCTTGTGACTCTTTGACTCGTCCAACAGATGGTTTCCACTGAAACAAGTGTCTCTGCTGCTCGCCCCCCTTCCCCCACCTCGTTACTGGGAAGGGAACCGTTCCCAAAAGGCATCCGGGCTTAAAGGAGTACACTCCATCTGAAAATCGATTTCGATTTGGTTTCACTTTAAATACCGACAATCCTTTTGCAGCTATGAAAATATATACAGTATA